TGCTACTGTCTCTCGGTCATGCCACTTGTATATACAATACAATGATCTTGTATTGATTGCACTTTTTGTTAACTCTTACTTCCTTCCCTAGGTATTTACCCCATTGATGTGATATGTACTGTGAGCTCTTACTAGTATTTATTGCTGCTCTTACTAGTATGTATTGTCAGTAGTTGATGCTCTGTTGATGCTTGTATGTTGTTCCTCAAATGTAAGTCGCTTTGGATAAAAGCGTCTGCCAAATGAGTAAATGTAAATGTAAATGATCATTTGTCAACGTCATGAAATCATGCAACAGAAACGTTGCTTTGGCGAAGAGGATTTCTTGTCACCAACACTGACTGAAGGCTGCAGTCCACCGCGCTCTGCGTTCTGGCTGCGAGGAGGACGCCACAGCTGATCGCAGCCATTCTAGACAAAGCTTGGGATTCCACCAGATGCGCCGCAGAGCGATTCAGAAGCGGCTCTCTGCTTTGCTCCGTGGAGAATACGAGGCTAGTCTATTGTTGACAGAAGCTGCGTAAAGCTGCACCGAGCAGATCAAATTGCCCAGGAAGTCAGACACTGAAACAGCATAGAGAATCCGATCAAAAAAGACAAAACTCTGCCTGTTACTTAAGTCTGTATATGTTTCTGTGATTGGAAGAGATGTGTCTTTGTGTTGCCACTACTGTTTCTATGGCTTCCATATAAAAGATATATTTGACTGCTTTCTAAGTTATCCACATAGGCATAGCTGCACAAGCTGATGGAACATGTTGGTGTCCTATTTGAAATGGCATTTCACTGCTCACGCTCCCTGGTGGTCTAGTGGCTAGGATTCGGCGCTCTCACCGCCGCGGCCCGGGTTCGATTCCCGGTCAGGGAAAGTACACTTTATGTCTGTCTGTGACTGTGAATTTGCTGCTTGACAATAGTAATGTTGATCATTTGTCAATTTCATGAAATCATGCAACGGAAATGTTGCTTTGGCGAAGAGGATTTCTTGTCACCAACAATGACTGAAGGCTGCAGTCCACCGCGCTCTACGTTCTAGCTGCGAGGAGGACGCCACAGCTGATCGCAGCCATTCTGGACAAAGTGGCTCTCTGCTTTGCTCAGTGGAAAATACGAGGCTAGTCTATTGTTGACAGAAGCTGCGTAAAGCTGCACCGAGCAGATCAAATTGCCCAGGAAGTCAGACACTGAAAGAGCATAGAGAATCCGATCAAAAAAGACAAAACACTTGTCTGTTAGGTCTGTTTATGTTTATGTGATTAGAAGAGATGTGTGAATTAGCTGCTTGACAATAGTAATAATGATTCTCTTACCACTGCTACGCAGACGACACGCAACCCTACCTATCCTTCCCGCCAGGCGATCCCACTGTCTCGTTGCAGATCACGGACTGTCTATCGACATATCTGCATGGATGAAGGCTTGCGACCTTCAACTAAACCTCTCTAAGACTGAACTCTTGGTCATTCCAGCCAAGCAATCTATCCACCATAACATCAAACTACAAATTGACTACGCAACCATCACTCCAACCAAGGTGGTGAGAAACTTGGGTGTCATGATTGGTGACCAGCTGTCCTTTTCAGACCATGTTGCTACTGTCTCTCGGTCATGCCACTTGTATATACAATACAATGATCTTGTATTGATTGCACTTTTTGTTAACTCTTACTTCCTTCCCTAGGTATTTACCCCATTGATGATATGTACTGTGAGCTCTTACTAGTATTTATTGCTGCTCTTACTAGTATGTATTGTCAGTAGTTGATGCTCTGTTGATGCTTGTATGTTGTTCCTCAAATGTAAGTGAGTAAATGTAAATGTAAATGATCATTTGTCAACGTCATGAAATCATGCAACAGAAACGTTGCTTTGGCGAAGAGGATTTCTTGTCACCAACACTGACTGAAGGCTGCAGTCCACCGCGCTCTGCGTTCTGGCTGCGAGGAGGACGCCACAGCTGATCGCAGCCATTCTAGACAAAGCTTGGGATTCCACCAGATGCGCCGCAGAGCGATTCAGAAGCGGCTCTCTGCTTTGCTCGGGGAATACGAGGCTAGTCTATTGTTGACAGAAGCTGCGTAAAGCTGCACCGAGCAGATCAAATTGCCCAGGAAGTCAGACACTGAAACAGCATAGAGAATCCGATCAAAAAAGACAAAACACTCTGCCTGTTACTTAAGTCTGTATATGTTTCTGTGATTGGAAGAGATGTGTCTTTGTGTTGCCACTACTGTTTCTATGGTTCCATATAAAAGATATATTGACTGCTTTCTAAGTTATCCACATAGGCATAGCTGCACAAGCTGATGGAACATGTTGGTGTCCTATTGAAATGGCATTTCACTGCTCACGCTCCCTGGTGGTCTAGTGGCTAGGATTCGGCGCTCTCACCGCCGCGGCCCGGGTTCGATTCCCGGTCAGGGAAAGTACACTTTATGTCTGTCTGACTGTGAATTTGCTGCTTGAATAGTAATGTTGATCATTTGTCAATTTCATGAAATCATGCAACGGAAATGTTGCTTTGGCGAAGAGGATTTCTTGTCACCAACAATGACTGAAGGCTGCAGTCCACCGCGCTCTACGTTCTAGCTGCGAGGAGGACGCCACAGCTGATCGCAGCCATTCTGGACAAAGTGGCTCTCTGCTTTGCTCAGTGGAAAATACGAGGCTAGTCTATTGTTGACAGAAGCTGCGTAAAGCTGCACCGAGCAGTCAAATGCCCAGGAAGTCAGACACTGAAAGCATAGAGAATCCGATCAAAAAAGACAAAACACTTGTCTGTTAGGTCTGTTTATGTTTATGTGATTAGAAGAGATGTGTGAATTAGCTGCTTGACATAGTAATAATGATTCTCTTACCACTGCTACGCAGACGACACGCAACCCTACCTATCCTTCCCGCCAGGCGATCCCACTGTCTCGTTGCAGATCACGGACTGTCTATCGACATATCTGCATGGATGAAGGCTTGCGACCTTCAACTAAACCTCTCTAAGACTGAACTCTTGGTCATTCCAGCCAAGCAATCTATCCACCATAACATCAAACTACAAATTGACTACGCAACCATCACTCCAACCAAGGTGGTGAGAAACTTGGGTGTCATGATTGGTGACCAGCTGTCCTTTTCAGACCATGTTGCTACTGTCTCTCGGTCATGCCACTTGTATACAATACAATGATCTTGTATTGATTGCACTTTTGTTAACTCTTACTTCCTTCCCTAGGTATTTACCCCATTGATGTGATATGTACTGTGAGCTCTTACTAGTATTTATTGCTGCTCTTACTAGTATGTATTGTCAGTAGTTGATGCTGTTGATGCTTGTATGTTGTTCCTCAAATGTAAGTCGCTTTGGAAAAAGCGTCTGCCAAATGAGTAAATGTAAATGTAAATGATCATTGTCAACGTCATGAAATCATGCAACAGAAACGTTGCTTTGGCGAAGAGGATTCTTGTCACCAACACTGACTGAAGGCTGCAGTCCACCGCGCTCTGCGTTCTGGCTGCGAGGAGGACGCCACAGCTGATCGCAGCCATTCTAGACAAAGCTTGGGATTCCACCAGATGCGCCGCAGAGCGATTCAGAAGCGGCTCTCTGCTTTGCTCCGTGGAGAATACGAGGCTAGTCTATTGTTGACAGAAGCTGCGTAAAGCTGCACCGAGCAGATCAAATTGCCCAGGAAGTCAGACACTGAAACAGCATAGAGAATCCGATCAAAAAAGACAAAACACTCTGCCTGTTACTTAAGTGTATGTTTCTGTGATTGGAAGAGTGTGTCTTTGTGTTGCCACTACTGTTTCTATGGCTTCCATATAAAAGATATATTTGACTGCTTTCTAAGTTATCCACATAGGCATAGCTGCACAAGCTGATGGAACATGTTGGTGTCCTATTTGAAATGGCATTTCATGCTCACGCTCCCTGGTGGTCTAGTGGCTAGGATTCGGCGCTCTCACCGCCGCGGCCCGGGTTCGATTCCCGGTCAGGGAAAGTACACTTTATGTCTGTCTGTGACTGTGAATTTGCTGCTTGACAATAGTAATGTGATCATTTGTCAATTTCATGAAATCATGCAACGGAAATGTTGCTTTGGCGAAGAGGATTCTTGTCACCAACAATGACTGAAGGCTGCAGTCCACCGCGCTCTACGTTCTAGCTGCGAGGAGGACGCCACAGCTGATCGCAGCCATTCTGGACAAAGTGGCTCTCTGCTTGCTCAGTGGAAAATACGAGGCTAGTCTATTGTTGACAGAAGCTGCGTAAAGCTGCACGAGCAGATCAAATTGCCCAGGAAGTCAGACACTGAAAGAGCATAGAGAATCCGA